TGGTAACAGAGGGACCTCTTGGAACTCCTGGTCCAGCGTAGAGACAGCCCAGTCACCAGGCAGGGTCAGCCCAGTTGAGTCCAGGCCAGGGTGGGAGGAGCACGAGCAGAAGGGTCCAGGGAGGATGGGGGCCCCCACAGGGGTATCAGGGAAGGGCTCCCAAAGGAGGCAATAACTAATCTGATAACTGAAGGATCTGCAGGAATTAGCACAAGACAGGAAAGAGGGTACAGCTCAGGCAGTGATCATTTGCTCAGCCCCTAATCTCACCAGCTCTTCAGGGAGATGCTGAACATGCAGCTGTGACTGAGACATCCCCGGTGCCTGTCCTTCCAGTCCCATGGGGAGACAGGTTTGTCACCAGAGGGATGAGGGAAGCCCAAGAGACCTCGAGAGCCCAGAGGCATGCCTAAAGCATTCTGGGCAGCCAAGGGAGGCTTCCTGGAGGAGGAAACTGTCTGCTGAAACCTATGAATGAGTAGAAGCTCCCTCATTGGAGGGTAGAAGCAACAGCATATGAAAAGGTTCAGGAAAACTGGAGCTTTGAAATGACACTGATTTTCAGAAAAACTTTGGGGCTTGGGAGGCTGGAGCTGAGGGGCAAAAAGAAGGGGGGCAGGGACAGAGAAGGGGAGACTGATGGGCAAGGGAAAGAACAAGGCCAAGGGGGCAGGGAGAAGGGGCTGCAGGTGTCCATATCACCCGTGGGCACCTGGCCACCGCCCTGACTCAGCGCTCCCCTCCCCACAGGTCAAGGAGCTGGGTGTGGTCATGTACAACTGCAGCTGTCTGGCTCGGGACCTGACCAAGATCTTTGAGGCCTACTGGTACCTGGGCCAGGCAGGCAGCTCCATCCCATCAACCTGGCCCCGGTCCTATGACACCCGCTACAATCAAGAGACCCCCATGGAAATCTGCCTCAATGGGACCCCTGCTCTGGCCTACCTGGCAGTGAGTCTAGGAAGCGGGGCCTGTCACGCCCTGGCCACACGCTCCCTCACGGCCTCCATCCAGCCCTGCCCAGGGATTGGTGGGGAGGGGGCTCCTGACCACTACCCCTCACTTCCGCTCTCTCTGCTTAGTCAGGGGCCTGGCTATGTCCCAATCTCCCATAAGCCTTGGTTTCATCTAGAAAATGGTTATCATAATGTCTACAACCTCTTAGGGTTTGCATGGCCCCAGCCATACCTCCCCATTAGCCCTAAATCTGGTTGAAAATTCAGTTTCTCAGTTGTACCAGCTCCATTTCAAGTGCTCGGCAGTCACACAGAGCAAGCAGCTGACGTGTCGGACAGTGCAACCGTGGAGGGCTTCCCTCATCTCAGGAAGTTCTGTGGAACAGTCGCCCATGGTAGATACTGAGCATTCTAGACAAGGCACTGCTCTCTTTAGCTTTTGATAGTTTCGCTAGCTGGGGTCGTCAACCTCACCTCTTTCAGTTCCCCAAGCAAGTCGCCTGGGCAAGCCCAGGACTTGTGGAGGGACACACGAACATGTGGGGATGCAGGGGCCTCCCACGGGGGACTGGGGCTCCCCCATGGCCACTGCCCCTCTCAGAGCTTGAGTTCGCTCACCCATCGTGGGGGTGGAGAGAGCTGGGTAAAGGGCCTGTGTGCATGGGCACATGCAGGGCACCAACAGGGTGTCCTGCGAGTGAGTCAGAGACAAAAGCAATGAGAGCAGAGGCCCTCAGAGCTGAGTGTGCATCAGAACTCCTGGGAAGGCTGTGAAACCCAGGTTCCTGGGCCCCTGCTCAGCACCCTCAGCACACACTGTATGCCACGTGTAGCGAGACCTGAGAGTTTGCAGTCCTAACAAATTCCCAGGCGATACTATCGGTGCTGGGTGAGGGACCTTGTCAGGAACCACTGGGTTAGAGCATAAATTCTGGAACCAGGCAGCCTAGATGCAGATCCTGGCTCCATTTATCAGCTGTGTGACTCAGGCAAGTCACTTGCCTCTCTGAACCTCAGTTTCCTCACCTGTGAAATGGACATGGTGATCATCCCTCTCCTTCGTGGATGCAGTGATACCAGTAGGACCTGGCTAGTGGCAAACTGTCTGTACATAGTGTCCATGGTGACGGCACCCCTGGCAGGCACATGTCTGACTACCCCCTTGTCCCCAGAGTGCACCTCCACCACTGTGTCCTAGTGGCCGCACCCCAGACTTGAAGGCTCTGCTCAACGTAGTGGACACGGCTCGTAGTTTCATCTACATCGCAGTCATGAACTATCTGCCCACGATGGAGTTCTCCCACCCACGCAGGTACTGCTGGGTATGTGGACCGGGCTCTGGGCTGGGAGCCCCCAAGAGTGGAAGAGGAGCAGGAGAGGGAGTGAGAGAGCCCAGAAAGCAGGCAGTGGAGCCAATGGAAGGGGACAGATGGAGGGGAAGCGATGGGGAGAGGCAGAGAAGACAGAGATAACAGGGAGGGGGGTCTGGGCACTGTAACCAGGAGCAAAGGGAACAGAGAAAAGGAAGAAAATACTGGGGTTCAGGGCTGAGACGGGGACTGGAGGAATAGGAGGTGTTGTGGGGTTTCTGGAGGTAGGAAGAGGGAGCATGGGCTGGAGATGGGATGAGGGCTTGGGGAACGGTTTGGAGCAGCAGGGCTAGGAGCTCAGAGAAAGAAGTCTGGGGGAAGCAGACGAGATGATGGAAAGCCTGGGTTTGGTTGTCAGGAATGGGAGCCAGAATAGGGGACGTGGGATTTAAGGAGGCGGGAACAGCACTGGGAGCCAGAGACGGGGTGGTCTTAGGGTTTGGGGGCTCTCAGAAGCTGGCACAGGCTGAGGGTGAGGCTTGTGGATGAGCCACCCCTCGTACCTTGCACCCCCTCCCAAGGTTCTGGCCTGCCATCGACGACGGGCTGCGGCGGGCCACCTATGAGCGGGGCGTCAAGGTGCGTCTGCTGGTCAGCTGCTGGGGACACTCGGAGCCGTCCATGCGGGCCTTCCTGCTCTCCCTGGCCGCCCTGCGTGACAACCACTCCCACTCCGACATCCAGGTGGTAAGCACCTGTCAGACCCACTCCTCAGCCCCTCCCTGTGCTGGGCAGTCCTAGGCACACAGTGCATGTGGAGCCCACCTGTCATCTGACAGGGACAACCCAGAATGAGCTGTGCAGTGATGGGGAAACCATGGGTCAGGGCCCAGGTTGGAGGGGGTGGGGGTGCCCAGAGGAAGCACCTGCCTTAGCCTGGGGGGTCATGGAAGGCTGTCTGGCAAAGGGGACAGCTCAGGCGAATGGGTGGCAAGTGAAGCAACAAGGTCCTCCCAGCCAGCAGACTCACACCCACCCCTCTGGCCCTGTTCTGGCTCCAAGGTTTCCGGGGATCCCCCGACCCCACAGTCCTGGTACCACTCCCCAGCCCAGACCTCGGGGCTCCTCTAATCCCTGCTTCATCTCCTGCTGCTTCCCATTCTCCCCTCCTCCCCAGAAACTCTTCGTGGTCCCAGCGGACGAAGCCCAGGCCCGGATCCCATATGCCCGAGTCAACCACAACAAGTACATGGTGACTGAACGTGCCACCTATATCGGTGAGCGTCCAAGCACTGCCGGGGGCTGGGAGGGACATTCAGGCGCTGCCATGGGCCCTGACTCTGCCCCCTGCCCTGTAGGAACTTCCAACTGGTCCGGCAGCTACTTCACAGAGACGACGGGCACCTCGCTGCTGGTGACACAGAATGGGCAGGGTGGCCTGCGGAGCCAGCTGGAGGCCGTTTTCCTGAGAGACTGGGACTCCCCTTACAGCCATGACCTGGACACCTCAGCTGACAGTGTGGGCAATGCCTGTCGCCTGCTCTGAGGCCCTTAAGGCCCCCACAGACCCAGAAACCCTGGGTCATGGTCCCTGTCCCCATGCCCCCGCTTCTCTCTGTCCCACTGTGGCTCCACGGGCCCCCTTGCTGTCCCACCTCTACCTCCGCCCCTGCCAGCCTGATGCTGTGGCCCCCAGGTCCCAGCTGAGCTCGGAAGGAATCAGCCCTAGAAGAAGTGGGGGTGCATGCTGGGCCTGACCCCCTGGCCCACCCCCTTCCTAGGGCAAAGAGGGCCCAAGGTTATAACAAGAAGTAAATGACTTGTCCGTACAGCCTCTGCCTGACTGAGTGGTGTGAGGTGGGGTGTCGGGGTTGGGAACAGCCAGCATGGGGCTCCAATGGAGACATGAGTGTGTATACAGATCTCTTAGCCTGTGTTTGGCGTGTGCCAAGCATATAACATGACTGGCATGTGCTGAGCCCTCAGGAGGTGACCTGTGGCTGATGAGCATGCAGCATGTGGCCCACTGGTTTAGCACGTGCTGAGCCCTTAGCATGTAACTGCACCAGCTGGCATGTGTAGCTGGTATGGGATGGCATGTGCTGAACCCTCAGAGTGCAATGTACGCGAGCTGGCATGTGCTGAGCATGCAGTGCATGGCCACATGGCTGGCCTGTGTTGTGCCTCCTGTAGCCAGCATGGGGTCGTGTGTGCAGCACGCTCAGCACGCTCAGCTCCCATGGATGAGCACACATTCAAACATTGCCATATCCCAAGGGTGGACTCATGTCTGAACACTGCAGTGTGCCCCAAGCAGGAATTTGCTCCTGCCAAGTGCATTTACATTTAGCATGTCCCGAGCATGGATGAGTGTAAGGCAAGTCTGCAGTGTGCGATGAGGACAGGCAAACAGACCTTGACATCTGGCGAGCTTAGATTGGTACCTCCTGGACACAGAATGTTCTGAGGGTGGGCTGTCATGCACCGAGCACTTAGAATATTTAGGGGGTGGTCAGTGTGCCAAACTAAGCCTGTTCCTCCCTCCCAGCACCAGGGCAGCCCAGCCTCCAGCCTGAGCCAGTAGCCGACTGCATGCAGCATCAGGGAGCAGGGCCCAGGCACCGGCCTGATCCCCGCCCGGTCCAGAGCAGGCCTCCCCTCAGGCAGGGAGGACAGGCACAAGGCAGGGCTGTGAACAGTTCTTTATTGAAACAGGCAGAGACAACAGGGCCAAAAATGTGGCCAACAGGGTGCAGCCACCTCTCTGTGTCCCTCTGACCAAGGTGGCCACGGACCAGAAGCCAAGGCCCTCCTGTGGCCCAGGTGCATGTGCAGGCTTGCACTGTGGGCAGGGATGGGGATTGCTGGATAACTATCTTTCTGTAAGAAATCTGTGGGTTCAGGGTGTGGCTCTGAGGAGGGAATGCCAGCCCAGCTAGCTCAGCCACCAGTGATGGGTAGAGGTGGGGTCGCCATCAATGTTGCCCGCCAACATGCTGCAGAAAGCTGGCCGCCCGGAGCGGACCATGTGGGTGGGCATGGCGGGAGCGAAGACCCGGAGCCCGTGGGCCCCTGATGCCCTCTAGGGCCCAGTCTGGCTCACTCAGCCATTCCCCAGAACAGCTGCTGGGGTCGAAGAGCTCGGGGCCAGGCTTCTGTGGGGGAGAAGAGAGGGCATCAGCCAAGAGGCCACCAGCCTGTCCCTCGTGAACTCCCTCTTGTCCCACTTGAACCCTCGTTACTTCCCGAGGGTGATTCTGTACCTTTGCAACCCTCATCGACATCCTGGGGGCTTTCAAAGTGTGTTCTGAGGCCACAGTGTGTCCTGAGGCTGTGTTAGTGTCTGCTGAAGTTCTGTCACGTCTTCCTGGGTGAGCATGTGCTGAGACCTTGTTCTTTGTGCTGGGCTTTTATCACTTCCTACAGGTGGGATACTGTGCTCTGGGTGTTTAGACAGCCTGGTAGCAGATCAGTGTGTGCAGAGCCTCGTCACACCCTACTGAATATCCTGAGTATGAGTTAGTGTGTGTGGAGCCTTGTAACGTCTTGAGGGTGGGCTAGTGCATGTTGGACCATCAGCCAGCTGAGGCAACCCAGGTATGTGGGGAGTCAAGGCCAGGTTCACTCTGCCCTCCACCCTGGAGCTCTGGGGGACCCCTGGCCCCAGAACCACCTGCACCCTTACTGTCCACTTGATTTACCTCAGCATCCATGGTCATGTCCTTGATGTCTGGCCCATCCCCATCCCGCTGTGGGATGGTAGGAGGCTTGGCGGAGGTGCCGCAGTGCTCTCCTTCCGCCCAGCTGCAGCCACTGCCCCAGCAGGGCCCGTCATCCTCGGGCGAGGCCTGGCTCAGCCTGATGAGGTTGCTGAAGTGGGAGTCAGACTTGGACCCTGCAGTTGGCTTCCGGGCCTTGTGGCGGCCAGCCAGGCGGCTGCCATAGAAGGCCAGGATGGGCTCAGGGCCCGAGTCGGGCACCCGGAGGCCAGCGACGGCTGCCTTGAGTGGTGCCAGCATGTTGGGGGTCTCATCCCACAGCCCACAGCCTGCCTCCTGCAGACTCAGGTCGTCCAGCTGGTCAATGGCCTTCTGCATGCCCGGTGCCTTCTCCTCACGGCAGAAAGGCCCACTGCCCGCCACACTGCCCAGGCCCATTGCCTCCTCTTCCTCAACCAGACGATAGTAGGGGGGCCCATCTTCTGAAGTGGCCACCATGGGTGTGGGGGGCTTGCCCTCCACCTGCAGGGAGAGGCGGCAGCTGCGCAGAGACAGCTGGTAGTAGCGGGTGGTCTCGTGGGCGCTGCGCAGCTGCTGCATGGACACGAAGGGGTGGCGTAGGGCGGCGCTGGGGCTGATGCGTTCATACGACTCCCAGGTCAGCATGCGCTTGATCAACTCCACCATGCTCTTGAGGTCAGCATGCTCCGCCAGGGCCTCCCGGTCTGGGAAGGTCAGCCGCCCAGCTGCCCCACCGCCATTCACCGTCTCAATCTGGTCCAGTGACTTGAGCATGTACTTGCGGCGCTCCAGTGGGTGTACCTGGTGGGACACGGTGGGCGGGGGTCAACACTGAGCCCAGGCCTGGGGCACTGGGGCTCACCTGCCGTGGGGCCCAAAGATGACCCCCCCCAGCATCCAGTTGGCCCTTCAACCTGGCCCAGAGCTCTCTTGTTGCTGTGAAGTCCACACACCTCAATCCTGATTTCCAGTTCTGCTTGTGATCTGACTTTGAGCCCTCTTGCTGCTGGGAGGGCCACACCTGCTCCCTCTAGCCAAATCTAGAATCCTCCCTCGGCGGGAAGTCCACCTATGTTCTTTGGGCCTCCTGGCATCTGACCAAGAGTTATCACTCAGGTTTCACACCTCATCCCAGACCTCCAGTCCTGCCCAGAGCTGTGGGCCCAGCCCCTATCAGCACCAGCAGAGGGACAGCCCTGAGCCTCTAGTCTTCCTTGGAATCAAACCCACGTTCGTCTTGCTGCCATGGGCCCCACCCCCAATCCCAGCGCTCCCGGCCTCCCAGGGGCACGACCTCCTCGCCACACTAGTTTGACGGGGCCCCAGGCAAGGAGCTATCAGAGGAGCTGCTGCCTTCTTTCAGTCCCATCTCTGGTCTTTCACCCAGACCCCTCCTGTGGTGACAGCTGGCCCAAACTTGCAGCCCTCTGCTGTCTCGCCCCGGACTCTTGACGCACAGGTGCGATGACCGAAGCCTCAGAGGCAGCAGCCGGCTGTCTCAGACTCCCAGTCCCCCCTGGGCCTTGTTTAGATCCCTCACACAGCAGGAGTTTGCCTAACTGGCAGAGGGGCCACCCCGCCCTTCTGTCACACTTGTGGTATAATCCAGATCCCTCTTGCTGTAGCAGCCCCTGCAGTGACCCTCAAGCTTCCAGTCCTACCTTTGGTCTCATCCCGATCTGTCTCGTTGTGACAAAACCCTACAACTGACCCCCGAGCTTCCAGACTTCCCTGAAGTCTAACCTAGTTGTTTTTTTTTTCTTATGTGGCAGTGCCACACTGGCTGGCCTTGCTCTTCATGCCCCCCTACCTTGGTCTCAGCCAGGTAGTCAGCCGAGGACTTGAGCTGCCAGGGGTTGGTGGCCTCAGGGTGGGGGTTGCGCTTGAAGAAGTGGTGGGCCTTGCGGGCGGCGTGCAACAGGTGGGGCTTGGGCAGGCCCTGGGTCTCACAGATGTAGCGCACCTGGTCGTACTCATTGTTACCCGGATAGAGCGGCCAGCCCAGGTGCAGTTCAGCCATGACACAGCCCAGTGACCACACATCCACCTTCTCGCAGAAGGGCAGCCCCAGCAGAATCTCGGGAGCCCTGTAGAAGCGCGACTGGATGTACGGCTCCTTCACATAGCGCACCTCGCTGAAAATGCTAGCCGAGCCAAAGTCAATGACCTGTGTGGGGGAAGGGAGGCCAGTGGGCAAGGGAAGGGGTGAGGACAGCAGATCTGGGTGTCACCTGGAGCCGCTCCCCACTGTGTGTCTGCACCCGCCACCCGACTGTCACTGTGTCTGTGAGGACCAGCTCTCATTGATGTTCCTGTCTGTCTCCTCCAGCCTTGTCTGCTTTATGTGCCTGTACCTTTTTTTCTCCACTAGCATATATGTCTGTGAGCATTAGAACCCCTCTCTTCCTCTCTCGCCCCACACCTTGTCCATCAGCAAATCTTGTCGGTTCCACATTCTGAATAGACCAAGAATCTGCCCACTGGGCATCCCAGCCACAGTCCCCACCCTGGTCCTGTCCTCCACTGTTTCCTACTGAGACTGCTCTCCTGGTCTCCACCCTCCACCCCGTCCGTTCCTTACATGTACCCTAGAGATCCTGTGAACACCTGAGTCTTGGGCACGTCCTTCCCCTACTCAGCATCCTCTTGTGGCTTTACCACATCCTGTGATAAAAGCTCAAGTCCTCACCACAGGCACAAGGCTCCTACAATCTTCCCCATCCAGTCTCTGTCCTCAGCTCCTCCCCTTTTCCCCTCACTAACCCTGCTCCAGCCACTCACTACTGGGCCCCTCACGGTTCCCTGCACAAGCCAGGACGTTCCCAGCTCAGGGCCTTTGCACTGGCTGTTCCCTCTGCCTGGAATGCTCTTCCCCTGGATGTCCACTCCACTCCCCGCCTCACCTCCTCGGGTCTGTACTCCTGTCACCTTCTCAGGCCTCGCCGGACCATCCTGCCCCAAAATGGGACCCCTACTTTTCCTAGTCCCCTTCCTGGTTCCTGGTCCCCTGCTCTTCTCCATAGCTCTCAATGCCACTTCACATGCTATATATTTTACATTTTTAATGAGTTCATTGTTTCTCTAACCAGCTAGGATGTGAGCCCACAAGGGCAGGATTTTGTCAGTTCACTGCTGAGTCCCTAGATGCTGTAACAATGCCTGGCACAGAGCCCGGTGTGCAGAATGAACGAATAAATGAATGAACAGATGGATGAATGGGCTTTTTATCCTTCGTTGTCTTTCTGTCTCTTGTTTGTATCTCTTGTGTATGTTCTTTGCCTCTTCGTCGCTTGTCTGCGTGTCTCATCTCTCAGCATCTCTCTGCACCTGTCTGTGAGTCACTCACTAGAAAAACATCTCCCCGAAGCCCCGGTCTAACACTCGTAACCCCCACATAGGACCTCGGGGCGTGACAGGCGCGTGAGGAACACCCGCTGAACTAACACCGAGTGGCTGAAAGCCCTTGTCTCTTCTCATGCCTCTGGGAGGAGCTATCTGCCATTTTTATTCTGAATCTCCAAGACTCTGTTTTGGTCCCTACCTCAGTTTTTCCCTCTGTTTTTCTGCTTTTTGGTCAGCCATCCCTCACCTTCTATTCGCAGGAGGTGGTAGGACAAAATGGTCATTAACCTGAATACAGACTGCCGAGGCCTGAATCCGAGAGCTTGAGTGACCCTGGGCACTCGGTCACTGTCAGTGGGATTCACCCGTCCACCTACCCTTCCATTCATTCCACGCACACGGCAGGGGCACCAACACCATCAGGCAGTGTGGGTCTGTCCTCCCCGTCTCCTGCTGAGCTTCTGCAAGTCTCTCCTCCCTCGGGTCTCTGTTGTTCTCTCTCTCAGAGCAGAGTGCTCTGCGTCTCCCTGCCCCTGCACCTCTCTGTGTCTGACAGCCCTTGAGCACTGACCACACAGCAGTGCTGTGCTGAGAGATGCCAAGGACACAGTGGCCACCCAGACGCCTTGGCCCTGCCCTTATGGTGCTCTTAGGCCCTCTCATCACCAGAGACTAACAAACCCCGAAGCAGACAGAGGGGTTGGGGTGGGACAGGGGTGCCCAGGGGCTTGTGGCAGTGCAGAGGAGGTGCCCCCTGCATCCAGCACAGGCTCAGGCCCAGAGCAGCCATTCAGTAAATGTGTGGTGACCGACAGTCTCTCTGTGAGCAGGTATGGTGCTGCCAGCCTCCATCCCCCTCAAGTCCTCCCTCACGCTTCATGTGAGATCTGTCAGCACATCCTGTTGTCTCCAGCTCCAAAATCTCCCCAGACCCACCCCGGCCCTGGCTCCCACTACCCCCTTCAGTGCCACCCACCCATGGCTTGCTCCCGGACTGGTGTGGTCACCCCTCACTATCCTCCTGCTTCGGCCCCATCACGGTCTGCCGCCCTCTCAGCCAGAGCGCCCAGGGCTGGGGAAAGCTGGGGGGAGACAGGAGCAGGCGATGCCACTACCCCAGGGTGGCCCTTCACCTTGACCCTGAAGGGGCAGCGGGCCTGGTCCACCAGCATGATGTTCTCAGGCTTGAGGTCGGCGTGGATGATGGCCAGCTCCTTGAGGCGGGCCAGCGCCCTGAGCACCTGCAGCGTGACGGTGCGGATGTGGCGGGCGGGGAGGGGTGCGAAGTTGTTCTCCTTCTGGAATTCGAAAAGATTTTGCTCCAGCAGCTCGAAAACCAGGTAGAACTTGAGGGCGTCGTGGAAGAACTCCAGGAAGCGGATGACGTGCGCCTCCTCGGGGTCCAGGCCCCGCATGCAGTGCAGCAGCTTCAGCTCGTTCTTGATGATGCGGCTGCGGTAGGCGTCATTCTTCAGGACCTTGATGGCCACCATCTCACCTGTGCTGCGCCGCCAGCCCTTCGCCACCTCCCCGAAGGTGCCCTTGCCCAGCACCTCGATGATGTCGTAGCAGTCCGTCTCTGACCGGATGGTGGCCATGGTGCCCCTGCCGCCAGACACCGCCCTGCCACCACCTGCGCCCCGCCGGCCCTGCCTTCGAGGCCTCTCGGACCCCCTCTGGAGCCGGCCTCCACGTGCCCACAGTGGGGGAAGAGACCCGCACTCGTGCCCACCCCCGTGAGGTTTGCCCTTGTCTCCCGGGCACCCCCCAGCCCCTGGGCCACGCAGGGAATGTGCCAGCGGTTGCACCCCTCCCCCAAAGCCCTCCTGGCTTGGGACAAGGGGCCCCGGCCCCCACAAAAGGGTTCCAGTGTTGCTGAGTAGCTCTGGTTCTGTTGTTGGAGACCTGAGCCCCTGTGTGGAATGGGGGGTGGGGTGGCAGTGCAAGCCCCCCTCCCCCATCCAGTGGCGGAACCCTGAAGAGGTCAGACAGGTAAAGGGCCCACTGAGAGGGGAGTCTGATGGTGGGCCTCAGGCAGAAGCACAGAACAGTCCCAAACAGAGGTGAGAAAAGATGGGCTTTCCGACCTAGGGGTGTGTGTGTGTGTGTGTGTGTGTGTGTGTGAATTTCCAGAAAACACCTGCCCTAGCCTGTGGCTGACATGAGGGGAGGTGTGGCTGAGGCAGATCCAGGTTGTAAAAGGTCTTGAATGCCAAACTAAGGAGTTTGGAATTGTTCTGAGGGCACTGGGGAGCAAGGGAGGGAGGGGTCGGATTTGAGTGCCAGAAAGTTACTATGTGAGGAAGGGTGAATGAGAGGGGCCCAGAGTGGAGGCCTTGATATGCAGCAGGGCCCAGGTGGGAGAGGTCAGGGAGAAGGGGAGGAGGCTTGCGGGTGAGACATTTAGGAGGCCAGGCAGAGGGGCTGACCAACCAGGGCCGGGAAGAGAGGGAGCTGTCTGGGACAAGGTGGGAGGGCACTGAAACTGGGACATGAACAGGAGCACTTTGGGGAGAGGATGCTGAGGTCAGGTTGGGATGTTTAACACCAAAGCATCTAAACACATTCTGAGTGCTCTGGAAGCCTTACCTGGCCCTGGCTGGGTGGCTCTGTGGGTCGGCATGCCGTCCTGATGTGCCGAGGAGGCTCTGGGATCAACCCCAGTCAGGGCACACATGAGAGTAAACCAGTGAATGCGTGTATTTATATACACGTAAGTGGAACAACAAATTGATGTTTCTCTCTCTCTCAAAATCAATAAATTTCAAAATAACATTTAAAAAAAGAAGCCTTATCTGACCCTCACAGCATACATTTTAATAGCTTTATTTAATGAATAAGAAAATCAAGACACAAAAGTTATTTTATTTTTTTTATCCACGCCCAAGGACATTTTTTCATTGCTTTTACAGAGAGAAGGAGGAGGAGAGAGGGAGAGAAAAAAACATCGATGTGAGAGAGAAACATTGATCGGTTGCCTCCCACATGTGCCGGGACCAGGGATCAAACCCACAACCTAGGCATGTGCCCTGACCGGGAAAAGAACCTGCAAACTTTTGGTTACAGAATGATGCTCCAGCCAACTGAGCCTCACCAGCCAGGGCAAGGCACAAATGTTTTTTAAAGTTGGGTGCCAGAGACAGGCTTTGACTGTGGGAAGTCTGGCTCCAGAGTCAACCTCTGCACCACCACCACCCCCAACACACACATCCTCCTAGTGCCCAGGTGTCCAAGGGAGGCATGCAGAGGCTACTGGATCCTCTCATGGACCCAGGGAAGAATTCAGGAATTGTCGTCACCCAGAGGTGAGGAGTAGAAGCCTCCGAGAGGGAGAGGAGCGTGCGGTGGGTGTGGAAGCAGAGGAAGCCTGGGAAGGGCGTGAAGGGAGAGGATCAGAGAAGAGGCAAGCGTTCAGGAAGGAGAAAGAGGTCCTGAGAAGTCAGGACCAGGGAGACAGAGGCCACCCTTGTCGTGACCACAGAGGGGTCACTTTGGACACTGGACAGGTCAGGTTAGCGGTGGTAGGAGGAAACCAGCAAACGCTGGGGGTCTGGTCCAGGGGTATGGGCTATGAGGGAAGACAATTCCTGCCAGGTCTGGTGGAAACAGAGAGGAAACATGTGACAGGGTAGTGATCCCAGGGGGCTGGCTTGAAGGGAGGAGTTGTCGGCGTAAGTGGGGGTCTGTGACAACTCAAGGGCATGGCCCTTCATCCTCTGCGATGGGAAGAGAGTGGAGATGTGGATTCGAGGGCATGAGGGGGTGATTTGAAACTGGACAGCCGGTCTTCTCAGTCCAGTCTGGGATGTGGCAGAGATGGGGGGGTGCGCTGGAAGGCCTGGCCATGTGCTTAGGGGTTCAAAGCTGGAGTGAGGCTGGGTCCCTGAGAGCCAAGGCTGAGCACCAGGGACCCAGTCTTAAGAGGCAGCCACATGTCTGGAGTAGAGGCTCTGAACCCATGATCCGGGAGAGAGCCAGGAGGGGCCTTCCTGGGTGGGGCCGGGTGGATGGGGCAGTCAAACCAGCCAGACAGAAAAGAACGGCCAGGACGTGGAGGTGCCCTTGTTGGTGAGCGGCCAGCAGAGGGCAGGTGGGTAGCAATCAGTCTGTTCTCTTAGAGCCCTTGGGACTGTCCTGACTAGTGGGTTCCCCAGGACAGGGGTCCTGCCTCTGTGCTCTGCTGGGGAACTTCCCAGATCCTGCTCAGAGGCCCCTGGGATCCCTGAAGGGCCAGGGCAGGCCCCAAGGCCTCCCCGGCTCTCCGCAGTCCAGGGCCGGCCCGTGTCTCGGCACAGGCTTCCTTCAGGCCAGGCTCCAGGCCCCCTCCTTCCTCCCCAGGGACCGTGTTCTCTGCACCCTCCCTGACTCTCCCCATACACAGAGGAGACTGGACACAAGGTACCCCCGGATTATTTATTCACATGGCTTGGCAACACACAGGGACTCTCGCCAATGAGCCGGCCCGAGGCTTCCCGGCCCCTCAGCATCAGTCACCTCCTTCCCGGCCCTCTGAGGGTTAGTGCTGGTTACTTCACACACAAAACAAGGGGTGGGGATGGGAACATAGGAGCAGAGTCTCCCTCTGCCCGGGGGCTTCAGATGACCGCAGTCTGAGCCCCCTCCATCCTGGCCGGGCCTGGAGCCCCTGTCTCCGTGAACCCCACGCTGGGCAGTCGGACCCGGAATCCACCCTCTTCTCGGTCCCTACTCCCGCTCCGAGCCTTGGGGCTCAGGGACACCCTGGGGAAGCGGAACTTGGGGGACTTCTCCCCACTGGGGGACTTGGAGGCTGCCTCGCCCTCCTGCCCCCGAGAGGCCTTGGAGGAAGTGGAGAGGCCCACACGGGGCAAGCGAACTCGGAGGCGGCCTCGGCGGCCAGAGGCCCCTTCCCCACTGCCCTCCTCTTCCTCCTCTTCCTCGGGGCTGGGGGAACCTTCGCCAGTGGCAGCCTCGCTCTGGCTGAAGCCCACCCGGGGCAGTCTGAGCTTCGGGCTCTTGGCCTTGTCACCCTCCTCGACCCCCTCCTTGGCCCGCACCAGGCCAAGCCGCGGCAGCCGCACCTTGAGCTTGTGTCCCGCGTCTCCCTCACCCTCTACCATCTGGTACTCAGCGTGGCTGCCCATGGCCGGAGGCGCGATCTCCACGTCGGGCAGTGAGAGGTGGAAGGTTCGTTGGGCCCCTGTGGGCTGGTCCCCAGGCCCCTCAACTCCAGCCCCAGCTCTGGCCCCCAGTGTGGGCATCTTCAGCTTTAGCCCACCTTCGCCCGTGACTGCCTCGCCCACCTGTGCCTCTCGGTTGAGCCCCACATCCAGCTCAAGCTGGGGCACTGTCACAGCAGGCATCTTGAAGACGCCCTCTCCCACCACCAGCTCACCACCTGCCACCTGGGTTCCGGGCAGAGACAAGGTCACCTGAGGCACCTGGACCCTGTAGCCTGCTGTGCCCTCTGCCGAAGGGACTGTGCTCTCGACCTGCTGCCCTGAGGTGGCGCCTAGGCCGGTCTCACTGAAGCCGGTCAGCTCCACCTGGGGCAGGGAGATGCCCAGGGGCATCCTCAGCACCCCCTCCTGGCCCTCCGTGCCTGTCTGCCTAGTGGTGGACACGTGCAGGCCCGGCAACCGTGCCCCACTGACAGCTATCCCCCCTTCAGCCCCCACTTCCTCCTGGGCCCCCAGTGTGACCAGCTCCACCTCGGGGATCTTAAGCTGGCCGGCCATAAACTCTGCCTTTTCTTCCCTGGGGCTGACACGCGCACCCTGGATTTCTACCTCCTTCCCTCGAGCCAGCCCAAAGGAGGGCATCTTCAGTTTGGGCATCTTCACCCTCCCATCCCAACCCCAGCCCTTGCCCTCCCCCTCAGCTACCCCTGGCACCAGTTCTCCAGCCTCGGTGTCCCGGACTCTGACCCCAAACTTGGGCAGGGCCAGCCTGGGCCCCTTGAGCTTGAAATCGGCCCCTGCCACCTCCGCCTTGCCTGTGGGCAGATGGGCATCCAGGCTGAGCTGCGGGATGGACAGATCGAGGGCGGGCAGCAGGCCTGCCTCCCCCACCCCTTTAGTTTCAGCCTCAGTTCCCACCCGAGCCTTGGGGAGTGAGATGGTGAACTTAGACACCTTCAGCTTGGTGGCTCGCCCGGCCCCCTCAGCCTCTGCCTTGGCCACCTTTGGCCCCGAGAGTCCAAACTTGGGCAGGGAGAACTTGGAGGTAGGTTTGACTTTCATCTCCATCGCCTCTACCCGCCCTTCCTCACCTTCCACTGTGGGCAGCTGTGGAGTGACAAGCTCAACAGAGGGCATCCGGAAGGCCCCTTCCCCGACCCCGGCTGCCACCTTGCCTTCTGCCCAGTCTACCTTGCCAACTTTGGCCTCTGGGACCTGCCCCTCCAGGCTGAGTGCCCTTGGCAGGTCCAGCTCCACTGAGGGCAGTGTGAGCGAGGGGACACCCACTTGAGCCCCGAGGTCCACCTCTGGCTGCAGACAGGGGAGTGTCACCAGCTTCCCTGAGACTTCAGCCCTTTCCTCGCCTGGCTTGCCTCTTGGTGGGGACACTGCCCTCCCCAGCTTGGGCAGGGTCATCTTGGGCATCTTGAAGCCAAATT